TTTGACCTATCATAACTCGGTCAAAAATTAAGATATTGATCTGCGGTTTGCGCCAAAATTCTTAGTTTTTTATGCTCTTTCGAATGATGTATCACAAGATAGGGGTTGCCATTTGAAAAAAAAAAGTTGGGGGCCCCCCGCGCCCTCCCTGAGGGGGGACCAAAATTTTGACCCCCCCAAAAGATGGTCCCCTTTGAGATAAGAACATTCCCAAAGTTTCATTACCCTACCTCAATTCGTTCAAAAGTTAGCAGGGGTGGGACGGACTTTTGGTACACCCTGTATATTTAATTTACTTTATTTGATTTCTCTTCTGTTGTCTCTGTAATTCTATTATTTCTGCTACTCTATTATTTCCACTATTCTATTCTATTATTTTACTTATTTAAACTTTAAATTTTTCATTTTCATCATTGGATTGGTAGGCCTAAAGGGAAGAAGAGACAGCATATAGCGCTAGTGCGAGAGAGAGATAGCCTAGGTGCGCGTGACTTAGGGCCCAACTGAAGCTCCGGTGCGGAGTGCTTTGCGCACTCATGCGACACATCTCAGCACCTATGCGCTGAATCTCACTCACCTGTTCATTCTCAATCCGGATTTTCCGTTGGACGGAATCAACGATTTTTAACAGTGTATATGGCCGATTGAAATAAAAAAAATCAAAATCAAATCAAATTTTGGAAAAGTAAGAATTATTGAGAAAAAATTGAAGAAAAATATTTTTAGAAAAGAAACCAGGATAGATTCACTGGCGCTTATGATGATTTTCGAAAAAAATTACTTTTTTAATTGCCCCTCGTGCACACGCGTATTTCCAATCGCCGGATACTGAACATTCTGGTACCGGCTACAGATGGCTGTTTTGGCAGCGGATGGGTATTGCCGTTATCCACAAGTGGCCAGCTATTGAATGTCCTATCGCTGACTATTCACGGCTAACGCCGGCTGCAGAACGTTCTATCGCGGCCATTCGTGGCTATCGCTGGCTGTAGAACTTTCTATCGCGTATCGCCGGCTGTAGAACTTTCTCTCGCCAGCCATACGTGGCTATAGCCGGCGATTGAACGTTCTATCGCTGGCCATTCGTGGCTATAGCCGGCGGTTGAACGTTCCATCGCCGGCCATTCGTGGCTATAGCCGGCGATTGAGCCTTCTATCGTCGGCCATTCGTGGCGATAGAGCTTTTTATCGCCGGCCATAAGGGCGATAAGAAAATCCTATCGCCAGCTATAAAAGCTATAGAAAATCCAACAGACGGCCATAAGATTTCTCTATCGCCTTTATGGCTTATTTTTACCAGGGCACTTAGGTGGATTCGCTTTACAGACGTTTGTAATTTTTTAGATTAATGTTTACTCCTTTCTATTCGTTTTCCCCTGAGATGAGCTCAAAAGATTCAATTCATGATATGTAAGGAAAACAAATCGGAACTAGTTTTATTCATCTGACGAATACTCGGAATACCGTTTCTAGCTTCTCTCGGCAAAATCTCATGAAAGCGCGGATATTCTGAAAAGAAGCTGCCTCTGAGGATGCAGAAATAGAGTCTTTGAAGGACCTACGAGATTAACTCCTCAAATCTGCTTCGGACCAAGATGAAGAGGCGCCGCGCCGCTAGAACCACCAGACATGAGGCCGCGAAAATCTGCCTTGCTAGGAAAGAACAGCGGATTTATATGTTCATTGAAATCTTGCCAAATGACCTACAGCAAAATTATTCCTTAGACTTTACACTAGAAATATGGTTAGGAGGTAAACATATCATTACACACTCATTGGTAAGAACATAAAATTTATACGTAAGGGTTTACATTATGGTTCCTCTCCAAAGCTTGACCCCCTCTTCAGCATATACAGTTCGTATAAAAGATAGCAGAAAATAATGTTAATAAAATCAAATGTAAAGTAAAATG